ACTTTAACATACAGGGTAGTCCTCATTATCTGCATGTCAATTGTGTATTTTTCTGGACATTTTCCTATTGATTTCTTTTTAGTGATATATTTTCAGTAACTGTAAGCTAACTTAAAGTTATTCTAGCTAAGTCATTAATAATTTGATAAACTCTAATCCCAATGTGAATGCCACATTTATACTTTTAAATAAAAGTATAAATTTAGTACTATTTGATGCCTTCAATAATTCACCTTATCTTCCTCTTGTCAAGCACCCATAGACTTCAATACAGTTCCATTTAACTAGCATTTATTGAGCATCTATCTTTTGAAAAACACACATATATAAGTGGTAGGTGCTAGAGTGGGAAGTGCAATGGTACAAGGAAGGAGAGTAAAATAATCTGATTAGAGATGGCAAGAGGACTCATGATGTGAGCTTAGGCTTCAGTGTAGACTGGACTGGATCTGATATACACTGGGAAAGATATACACCCCTAGCAAAATCACATTATAAGCAAAGGCATGAAGGTGGAAAAGTTCAGGGTTTGTCTGATAATTAAAAAGTAGATTCATATGACTGGCACTTTTTTGTGCAGGTCATAGCCAAATGCAAGACTGGCCAAGTAGGTTGGGGTCAAATTGTGGAGCCAGATTAGTTTATGGATGCTAAGTTAAGGACTTACTTTGATGTATTATTCAGTAGGGAACTACAAAAGGGACACATTCTTCCTGAGTCAGAAGAAGAGGAAAGAACAGGTATAGAAGTTGACAAGTTTTACGCAACATGAGAGAAAGTTATAAGAATTTACAGCTAATGAGTGAGATGATGATTAATTAAGTAGGTGTTTGAAGTAACAAAGCATCTGAATGAACTTTTAACTAGGAGAAGTCAATGACCAGAGAAACACTGAAGGCACTGAAGGCCAGCTGAGGTTTTGAGAAGAGTTCTAATCCACAGAATTATATTATCATTTCACAAAATCTCTGGCAGCTCAGTATATGAGCAAATAAATTGGATGTTCAAAACTAAGTGAGAAGGAATGATTGACCTCACGAATTACGGGGTCAGTCTACATTTGAAGGGGTGGGAGGCCCAAAAGCAGCAAGCAAGTTTAGGAGGAAGTGAAGCGGTCAAGGCGCAAGAATTCTTAACTTACTTTTTTTTTTTTTTTTTGCGGTACTGCGGGCCTCTCACTGTTGTGGCCTCTCCCGTTGCGGAGCACAGGCTCCAGACGCGCAGGCCCAGCGGCCATGGCTCACGGGCCCAGCCGCGGCATGTGGGATCTTCCCTAACCGGGGCACGAACCCGTGTCCCCTGAATCGGCAGGCGGACTCTCAACCACTGCGCCACCAGGGAAGCCCATTAACTTACTTTTATTTCATTTAACATTCACATAAATGTGAAGGAATTTATGTGAGCAAATATTGGTTCATTTAATTCTCATAGCAAACATACAAGATAGACATCATTATGATCCTAATATTACAGCTGGGGAAGCTGAGGCCTGAGAGGTTTTAACAATGTGCCTGGGTCACTCAGATAGTAAGAGTCAAAGCTAAGATTCATTCAGTTAGTGAAGTGAAGGGTCCAGGCTCTTGAGTACTGTGCTATGCTATATTTAAACTCAAAGCAGAAAAGTAAAAAGTTACGTGAGCTTAGGCTGTGGTCAAAGCAAAATACTAGAATTTAAATTTATAGAATAAGAGCAGTCTTTGGGAATTAAAAGACTTGGGGTATTGCAACAAAAGTGGGTGACTGAAATAAAATGGAGTTGAGGTCACAGTATTTGAGGAATCTAAGGAGACTCAAAGAGGGATGTATTGAATGGCTCTCCATAAAGTACTGTAGTGGGCTTAAGGTGAAGAGGGCAAACCACACCTGGTACAATGTTCTTATCTATGCACCTCGATGGTTGGTAACTTCCACCAAGACAAAAATAGAATTCCTCCACAACTTCAGGACACACACACATGCACGCACACATACTTTCCAAGGGTTCGTGGGAACAGGTAAATAAATACCTTCTACTTGACAGGGCCTCAGCACTGGCAAAGACCACAGGGAGGCATTAGGATTGAGTCAAAGACTGAGTGAAGGAAAGCAAGTTGAAGAAATGGCATATAATCAGTGGAAAGTTCAAAAGCGTTTGTTTGTTAGTTTCCTTTCAATGAAAAAAGAATGCTTTATTCTAAACATTTTGTAAATGCCTGGCAGAAAAGAGAGGTGGGGGAGATTAGAAGGGGCAGTAAGCACTGAATAGATTTATAAAACATTGTTTTTTGGGGAAAAAATATTTAAAACATGTCATTAATTTATCTAATAACCCAGGTAAAAGAACGTATCAAATAATGCCACCATCAATTCCAAGAACAATTGTAGTTTCAGGTGAATTATGTGTGTGTGTGTGTGTGTGTGTTTTCATTGGACTGAAGGAACTGCATAAACCAATGCTTCTCAAAATGTGGTCCCTGCAACATCAGCATGACCTGAAATGAAAACTCTGAAGTCCTATTCCAGGCTTGCTGAATCACATATACTCAAGTTGGGGCAGAGCAAGCTGTGTGTTCATAAGCCCTGCAGGTGATTCTTATGTGCGATAAAGTTCAAGAACCTCTGGCCTAAGACAACATGTCTGTACTCCTTTCTGCTTAGCTGCTTAGAAATTGAGATTCAAAAACATCACTCACCTGCAAAAGTTAACTATATTAGATGCTTGATTATATCTACTTCTGTGTTAATTTTAATTATTTTCTTCTTTTCTTTCCTCTAGTATATATTATGTTTCATAAGTCATAACCATTTTGGAAATATATATTAAATGAACAACCATTAGATTTCTTTAAAGACATTGAAAAAATTTTTAGAATCTATAACTATAATATACTATATGAATGTTAGGAATTTGTAAATGCGCAACTGTAGAAGGGAAAAATGTATAAGTACATAGCTAAGAAGCTGGGCGAAAGAAATGGATTCTGATTTAACTGATGTAGGAAAAAGCCTGGCACTGGCATTTAGAAAACAAACCAACAAACACAAGCTCCAGATGAGTAAGGACCAGGTTAAGGTCCTCCACACTTGAGGAGAGTAGAGAAGAAAACTAGAACAGAGCTAGAACCTTAATGAGTTTCTGAAATTGAAATGCTTTTTCTTTCAAGAGTCTGGTGAAAATCACAGAAGTAATGCCAGGCGGTAACAAGTCTGTCTATGCGGGAAGTCCAAAGAAATGAATGGTATAAGCTCGAAAAAGAGCTGGAAAACTTAAAGAACCGAGGGAAGGGGATTGATAACACTGAAGAGAGGTAAGTGGCAGGTCAGGTTCAACTTGATTCATCAAGTGTTTCTGAATCACTCATGGGTTAACATTATGCCTGGCAACTGTGGACGAGGACTGCTGAGACAGATTCACACTGAGAACTTACAACATACCTCTTAGGAATTCTACCTTAAAAACAAAATACTTGCAGTTGACCTAAAAATAATTAAACTGGATCACAAAGACCATGTTGGGGAGAAGTAATGGTGTCTTTATTAATTCTCAGACCTGGAATAGAATCTTTGTTTTGTTTTGTTTTTTTGCGGTACGCGGGCTTCTCACTGTTGTGGCCTCTCCCGTTGCGAAGCACAGGCTCCGGACACGCAGGCTCAGGGGCCATGGCTCACGGACCTAGTCGCTCTGTGGCATGTGGGATCCTCCCGGACCGGGGCACAAACCCGTGTCCCCTGCATCAGCAGGCGGACTCTCAACCACTGCGCCACCAGGGAAGCCCGAATCTTTGTATTTTTAAAATCATCCCAAACACAGTCCTAACAACACCTGAGAAAACTTTCTCTCTGGCCATTACTTCAATAAAAATTCACTAAACATTAATATTTATTTTGGAATGAGAGAGATTTCTGTAGGTTCTGAGGAAAACAAATAAATCTTGAAATGCAAATATTCAACATTTAGAACTAATAAATATGTATTTAAAGAATGATGTTAATATGGTTTATTCATAACTTAAGCAGGTGTTACTATTAAATAATCATATTACATTAAATTCTTTATTAGTAAGAGAAATATTATCGAAAGTTACTGTTAAACTAAACATGCTACCCAATCATAATTCTGAGGTGTCACAATATTCTACATTTACTTTAGAAATGTCAAATTTAGGATTCATTATCTTTACTATCATTTCAGTAGCAAAAAAATTTAATTCATTTTAATGATATCTAATACAATCAGGTTAATCAGCTTATTGAACAAACCACCAGCTCTGTATTTAGCAAGGGCTTTGGAGATAGAATAGATTATTAAATGATGGGGCTTGCAGTAAAGGTTTGAAAAATATTTTCTTGCCTTGCAATGAGTACAGTTTGCCACCAGAGAGAGCTCAGTTACTGTATTTTATTAGAGAGCACTTATTTCCTTTCAACTAGATTGAAATTCTCTATCTGAAACGCCTGCTACATGGTAAAAGAAAAAAAAGCTATTGTTTAATTATTTATAATATTCAGTCAACTTCTAGAAATGAAACTCTCATGCTTGGCATTTAAGAAATTATTTGTCCACGGCAACGAAAGTTAGCGCAGAAGGTTTCAAGGAAGATTTCCGGAGAGAAAGGCTCAGGTTGCCTATGGATAGTGAACCCTTTTTTTGCCTAATGGGAAGACCTCCTACATACTAGAAATAAGTGTATTTTCAAAACAACACAAAGGATACTTTTCAATATCGTCTGGTTACCAAACTGAGCAAATTCAAAAACAAAAACCATCAATTGATAAACATGCTCAAGAAATACTCAGTAATAAATGGACCTTGATCAATAATAACCTAAAATTGATAGATTCTTAATATCTTTTAATTGTCTGATTTTCAATTGGAGAATTTTTTTATAATTATTAATCAAGGTCACTTTACTTAATAAGAATGTAAACAACCACAGTATATACAATTTTAAGTTCGTCAATATCCAGTCCTATCCCCCCACCCCAACCGTGATAAGTAAACTAAATGAAGAAACACATACACTCCAGTTTATCCTCAGGTCTTCCTCTTTCAAGGAGAGACAGGTAACAGACAATATCCTTCAGGTGGATTACTTCTGGGGAACACGTATTTGCTGGAGAAGTACGGGGAGAGGTGATGGCACCTTTATTCATTCTCAGACCTGGAAAAAAAGATTTGTCTTCATATACTTAAAACTATTCACAGTGCTCTCAAACAAAAGCCAACAAAGGAAATAGAGAGATAATGCCTAGACCATGTAGAGAAACTGTATACTTCTGAGGCGTGAAATAAGCAAATTCTCTGGTCTCTAGTATAACAGAGACAGACATTCTATGATTCTTTTAAGTAATGGAGAGTCCTTTGGGATTTGGGGACATAGGGACTGCTCTGCCTACTCACTGGATGGTGTTTGGGCCAGAATCCTATCGCCCAGAGTTAGCTGGTAGACAGATTTCAAAGCATAAAGAACTACTTTCCTATTCCACTTTTCTCTGCCTTAGGCAGTGACAGCTGTGAAATCAGCTGGGAAGACTGAAAAATGGTCTTTCACAAAAAACTGAAGAAATGTGAGTCTGTCCCAATATGATTTATATATTGATGGTCAGGAATCATTCATACATAAAAACATGTATTTATGTCAAACGGTTGCCAGCACCGTGAATAAGACATCCTTTTTGCCATCAAGGAATCTGCCCATGAATAAGAGAGAAAGTGAACATAAACAAAAATCTGGATAAACATGACAGATTTAATTAGAGAGGTAAGAACATACAACTGTAGTTTGGTTTTAATATGGTCCATACTTTATTTATTACATCCATTCATTGTGCCTATTCCAAGACAAGGGTAGAGAACCTGAATATCTGTTCACAACAGCTGACGACTGCAGAGTATCTGATAATTAAATCGAAACTCTTTCACAATAAATAGTTCCATCTTACAGAGAAGTCTCTGAAACCAGATCATGTGTATCTGACAAGACCTCACGGTAAACCCCAATTATCCTTTGAGGTCTATTTGGCCATATAAAAGGTATGTGGGTTAGATGGCTGATGGGCTGAATGGCTACTTGATTCCTAATTAACCAGGAGTTACTGGAATGCAGGGAATAATCTTAACCAAATACAGTTCTACAAGCCTGTCGTTCATCTGGCATTCATCAGCACACCTCCACCTGACCACATCTCTTGCTCTGGTCTATCTCTTTCCATGTATAACTTTGATTGAACACCTGTGATTTCCTTCAGCCATTTCAAGATATCCAGGAGTATAATTTAATGCATGCTAAAAAGCCAGCAGTTAATTAGTTTAGTAGTCACAATGTTACTACTAATAAAATGTACCATTTATTGAATGTAAACTATGTGGCAGGAACCATGCTGGGCACTTGAACATGTATCATTTCAGTTAATTCTCCCATTAACCCTGTGAGGGGAGATTGCATTAATCCCATTTTACAGATGAGAAACAGGCTTAGGGAGATGAACTGCCCAGCGTTTCATAACTAGCAACTTTATCCTTTTTATTCTACACTAATAGCTTATAGATTATTTTTGTTCAAGGCCAATAGTAAGGAAAAGTAAGAAAAACAGTTTACATCTTAATCCAGCACAAATAACACACACACACACACACACACACACACACACACACACACACACACACACACACTAGTAGGTTTCATAACTGTGCCAATGTTTTCTGTGTTAACCTATTCTCTTCTTTTTTACTCCATTCTTAAAATTCTGTCAAAGACCCCTTAAACTGAATTCATTACCCACCATGGGCCACAATTGACAGTTTGAAAAACAATGCTTTACATCTTTCATTTTTTTACCAAAGTCTTCTTTATTTCAAATACATCTCTATGCTTCACATTGATTCCACTTCTGTTTATAGTTATTGAAAAAGATACATATATATATATACACATATTATAAATGGATTTCCTCCCTTAACAAAAGTGTCACTGTATATCTGATACAAACTAACATAGTCACTTTTATAAACCAAAGGCAGAGAACAGAAGACAATCCTGAGCTTTGAAAAGAAAATACCTGACTAATTCTAACTAATCATCTAAAGCCTAGCCAGCTGCAGAAATAAGCAGTTTCAACTTATGATAAAAGACATTTTGGCACTGATCCTTCACATGACCATAACTTCCAGACTCGGAGAACACAGCCCTTGAATTATGGTTGGATAAACTATGACCTAACCCATCCTGCCTGATGAGCTAATCCTCTCTTCTATGCTCCCCGCTTATGGTATTGAAATGATTTAATCAGCTTGATTTAACTCTTTTATACAAAAACTCAGCGTAAAACAAGAATAAAAAGCATGTATCATCACATTCATTTGAAAGAATGCCAAAAGGTATACATTTTCACTTATATATATTCACTTATGATCATTTGTATATATAAAATAAAGGTTATGGTATTTCATTATCAATTTTCATAATATTAAACACAAACATTTGGAAAATATGAGTATCATAAATTTCTGTTTGCCTTTCCTGTATGTAATGTACATACTGAATATGAACATTAATGTATAATTTCAACTTAACACTATTTTTGAACAAGAAACGTTACTATACTAAAATTATTTTGTTTGACAAAATGAGTTGACTATTTGCCATTTTCTGTTCATGAGAGGTTGTAAACAAAAAGTTGTATCATGCACTGAACTGTGTCACAGTTTAACATTTAAAAGAATTTAAAGGTTATTTTAAAAAGAAATTATGGGCATGTATGACAACACACAATGAAAAACTAATCAGTTTTTCCTTAAGTGCAATTTCAGCTAAATTTGAGAGGTAAAACATATACTTTTCGCAATGATTTATAGGGTGCATCAGAGAAAGAAAAATAAAATGTCAATGAGCTTTTCCATAATTACTTTACAACAAAACAATTATAGAGCTGGACCACTAAATCTTGACGTGTTGCGTTGAAAAAGCTCATAGGTTTGTTTCAGCTCCTAACCCCCTACCCTAGATCAGCCCACTTTCTCTTAAGTGGTGAAAATGTTTCCTTATATTTTCACTTAATATTTTGAGAGCAGGCCCTAGGGCCTCAATCTGTCTTCAGAGAGGTTGTTTTTACACCCTATTCTACCCTTTCAAAATTTTTTTTTCCTGTCCCTAAACTTGGCTATAGCTCTTTCCCAGTATTTACCTCCCTCTAGGAAAGTTCACTTCCCAGAAGAAAAGTCCTTTTCCTTTTAAGCAGTTTGTGCTAATGCTTATACAGGACACACACGAGACCATGTAACTGGCAAACAGGACATAGCAAGCCTGGTTTCTAGGCTGCAGCTCCTCAATGAAACGAGATGGTAAATGGAATCTTACACTTCTCTTTAGCAGTAATAGCCTCTGAAGAAGAGGTTCAAAAGTCTACTTCCCTTGGGACTTCCCTGGTGGTGCAGTGGTTAAGAAACCATCTGCCAATGCAGGGGACACGGGTTCGAGCCCTGGTCCGGGAAGATCCTACATGCCCCAGAGCAACTAAACCCATGTGCCACAACTACTGAGCCTGTGCTCTAGAGCCTGCGAGCCACAACTACTGAGCCCATGTGCTGCAGATACTTAAGTCCACGCATCTAGATCCCATGCTCCGCAACAAGCCACCGCAATGAGAAGCCCGCGCACTAGAATGAAGCGTAGCCCCCGCTTGCCACAACTAGAGGAAGCCCCCGCACAGCAACGAAGACCCAACACAGCCATAAATAAATAAATAAATAAATAATTTAAAGAAAAGCTCTACTTCCCTTTAACAAAGGCCATTTTAACCCATTCAAGCATCGGTGAAACTCTCTTTAGAATTGGAACTGCACATGAAGCTAGGTAAAACACAATGTGTTTTTGTTTTTTTGGTTTTTTTGCCTCAAGTGGTCAATATTTAGCTCTGAAGATCATGTGACTGACATCCAAATTTGCAGGTTCTCTGACTTGCTCAAGGCTATGCTTCTTTAAATATTTCCCCACAAAAGTGACCCATATATACCTATACACATATAATATATATTACAAGGTACAACAAAGTACAAAATAAAGTGAAAAATAGGCAAAGTAATTAGAGCCTATTAGTTTTATTAGGAATAATTATCTTGTACTTCGATGGCATTTTTCTGTTTTTATGATTATATATATATATGTATATACACATATATATAAAAACATTATTCTCTTCAAAGTTTTAACTACAAAAAGAGTTAGCGTTAGTCAAACTGAATATTGCCTACGATTATCACATTCTTCAAGCACACGATTTTCATTGTATTCCAATACAGACACTCCATTTCTTAAAACAATGACCTAAAAAGTTTTATTCTAATAGATACTTTTAATTCTAGTCTCAAGGTTCAATTGTTAGCAAATCAGTTTTGGGTACATGTTCAATTACTGCCTCTGCTCCAGTTTATTTTATTTTCAAACACTTGCATTCCAGATAATGAAAACGGTAGCGTTATCTCCACTGTTTCCCTTCATCTATTAAAATGAAATATTCAAAACTGTTATTATTACTATGAAATAATGATACGAATTAAAACTCTAAACTTATAAGGCAATAAAACACTCTGGCAATTTGGTTTTTCCATTTTTTTATACTGGTTCAATTTGCAGAAATTTAACAAGCTTATGAAGCAATTTGTCACATAGTGTAGTCACATATCATACTTCCAATATTCATATTAATAGTCATGATGAGTAGCACAGATAACCAAGAATAATAACAGTTACTTCATATTATCACACATTTCATGATTTTTAGACAACCTTCTAACTATGCTTGTCTTAAAATAATATAATTTTTAAAAAATTTTTTTATGCTTACACAAACCTGCAGCAAGATGAGATAGCCTGGGTAAACTAGATTGTGATTCCTCATAAAATGAGGACAGGCAATGGATACAGTCCTTGACAAGAGACTAGGGCCAGCAAAATCCCTCTAAGAACATCATATGGGTTTCATCTTTTTGGCCACTGGCAAAAACCTGAACAAGCAATTATAAGGAACAGGGCTTGAAGCAGGTCTTTGGGGGTGATGTTCTAGGAGCAGAACAAACTCTGCAAAGGAGCAAGGCTCCTGGCTGTGTGCCAACAACACTGACCCTGCAATTCCATTTGTGAGAGAAAACCATTGTAAAGCAATT